GAGAGAAAGGAAAAAGGAACACATTGAAAATGGAAAATATGCATTTTTTAAAAAAAACTAGTAAATAAGTGTTAGACAAAGGGGGGCGTAGGTGGTTAATGAGTGAGCATGTATGTTTGCACGCTTGTTTATTAGAACGCACATGAACTCTGAAAAATAAAGAATGGGCAGGGGGCAGGTGAGACAAGAACATCCTGGATATGGGCGGGTATGACGTTCTCATTCAGGGCCCTCCGAAAACATGGGATTTGACTACCCTGCTACTTTTCACCCTTCAGCAGCAGCGCTCTGTTGATGTTCCAACAAGAGGGCAGAAAATCGTTTCTTCATCACAGTGGACTGCTGAACGCCATGGTGCAGCAAGTGTCACCTCTCTCTGCTGTTTTGTGCCTTGATGGTACATGGCAAATAGGACAGATGCTGGCAGCAGGGCATTCGTGTCCTGGCACCCTTGCTTCCTAGCTGATGGGTTGCCTGTTCTACTGTGCAGTTGCGTCGCCCAGTGCTACCTCTGTTTTCCATATCAAGAAAAAAATTGACAGAGGATTAGAAACTTTTAAAATGTTTTTCTTATTATTATCTCATAAATTTGGCATATCCTGTATTTCCTATATAATTTATGCATAAAGTTTGTCTTGTGTTTCCTGTTAATTTCATTTTGTTTAACCCGGAATAATTTTAAACAATTATCAAAAATTTCTTCAAGAAAAGCAAATTCAGTTAAATATTATTAGAGTTACAAAATAAATGCAGCATAATTATGTTGGTTATTCTAGTACCTAATGATAAATTATGTATGGCTGTTTTTTAATTTTTAGTTGCACAGTGCCACCTATTGGGCATATGTTATAAAACACCTTCATATTTTTGGCTTTCCAGGTTTGGTATTTAGCTGCTTTTTGTAATCATCATTGTCATCACTTTCCTAAAACAGAAAATCTATAGCCAGCTTGCGTATTCAGATGTTTCTTATTCATATAGATGCCAAAACAAAAATACATAGCCTGCAAATTTTATACAGAATCTTTGTGTTGAATCCATCTCCACTGTGCTTCATTTTCTTTGAGCATCTGCTTTTGTTTTGGCAATGCAGTCTGCAGATAGTTTAACACTGCCTTTGCAAGCTAAAAAGAGCTTTTGTTGATAATATTATCCCCAGTATTCTTCTACTCATGGCCTGTTCTGTTCATTGCGTTTGTGTGTGCTTGTGTGTTTATTTTCTTCACCACTGCACTGTTAGCCCCGCAAAGGTGAACAGTAGACCCAGTGCCTACTGCACAAGTGTTAAAGTCACCTGAGAGCATGGTGAAAATACTCGGAAAGCTGATAGTATATTAACATGAGAACCTTTAAAAATTCTATTAGTAATATTAAGAAGATATTGGTTAATACATCTTGAGGTATATTTCTTTTACATGAAAAAACAAAAGTTATTTTGTTTTATTTTTTAAATCATTGATATCCTTTTAACACTAAACCTAATTTCTCAGTGAATGATATTTGTGCTCATGCTGCAAAATGGTATTATATGTGCACAAGAGATACATTTTATTCAATTATAGCATTTTAATTAAAATTAGTACCAAATTGACACAGTCTTATTAATCTAAAGATACAAAAAAAGATTATGTTTTTTCCTCAGCTTTCCTATCTCTTACACAGGGATAGAACCAGGAATAACCAGGTGAGGTTTTTAGAGCCATTCTCTGTCCTTTTACTTTCCCAGTTAAGAGAAGAACAGCAAAGAGGTAGGCAGGGGTATACTAAGGGCCCAAGGTTAAAGCACTTATAAGCAAAAATTTAAAAACCTGAAAACATTCTTTGGTAAGGAAAAAGACAACTTAGGGAACTTTAAAAATTAATTTGTTTTTTTAAAGAAACTATGTACATTGAGATTGAACTCAAGAAGAGCACATGCACCCACTGCAGAGCACAAAGCAGACATCTGCGGAGAGCAAAGGAAGATCTCTGATGGTTTTTAGCATGACCTGAGAAAGATAAAACAAGACAGAGTAATTTAGAAACCCTTGCCCTGTTGCCCAAAAATAAAATATAAACAGTTAAAAAGCTTTTAACATTCTTTACTGTCACCTCGCTTGCCTAAGGACCTTACTTTCCCATCCATCATCTAGGTTCCAAAAACGTGAAAATTGAAAAAGCTGTCAGTGTATTTACTAGCCTAGATACAGTCATGACTTGACTCTGGTTTGTTGCTAGACATTCATTTTCAGTTCTGCAAGTTTGAATCTGCCAGGACTGGAATGCTTAGGTATTAGTTGCTGACAATTTCACAGTAATTTCAGGCCAGACTTGCCTTTGAGCAAATCATATCAGTAATAATGAGGTCAAATTTTCTTATTACTTTTGGCTTGTCTAGCAAATATTGCATCATATTTGTTTCTAAAGTCAGGGAATTTTGCCTAGCCTTTGAACTTTGAAAATAAAAGGATGAGAGAAGTAAACTTGACTGAGTGAATGCAAATTGTAGAAGGTCTCCCTATTTTAACTTTTTAACTTCTTTTTGTTGTTGGTTTTTTTTGGTTTTGTTTTTTTGTTTTTTGAGTTGGAGTCTCACTCTGTCACCTGGACTGGAGTGCAGTGGCCACTCCCGGCCACCACAGCCTCAACCTGCTGGGCTCTGGTGATCCTTCTGCCTCAGCCTTCCACATAGCTGCAACTACAGGCGTGCGCTACCATGCTCGGCTAATTTTTTTGATTTTTATTATTGTAGAGATGAGGTCTCAACAAGTTGCCCAGGCAGGTCTCGAACCCGTGGGCTCAGCAATTCACTCACCTCAGCCTCCCAAAGATGCGGGATTACAGGCTGAGCCACCGAGCCCGGCTCTATTTTAACTTCTAATCTCAGAGGTTGAAGTTATAGAACAGAAAAGTAATGAGAGGCATGACTGAATATTGGGTTTTTGATCTAGAAGAAGCTGTCTGATCAGTACATTTTTGTTGACTTTCACTTCTTAGTCTTCTAATACTACATCCATTGTCCCAAGACAATGGGCTTTTTTGTACCTGTATGTTTTTGCTTTCCTCTTGTCACCTCAGACCATTTCATCTCATTACCATTTAAGACAAATATTTGTCACTTTATGCTTTTCAAGCAAAAGTTTTGTATAGAAGGGCAACATATATGATTTGTGTGTGTCTGAACATATGTTTAAACCAAATTCCTAGCATGTTTTTCTTTTGTTGTTTTGTTTTGTTTTGTTTGAGCTGTCGCCCAGGCTGGAGTGCAGTGGCATGTTTACCTACTGGGCTCAGATGATCCTTCTGCCTCAGCCTTCCAAGTAGCTGGAACTACAGATGTGAGCCACCATGCCCGACTAATTTATTTATTTTACTTATTGTAGAGATGAAGTCTCATCAAGTTGCCCAGGTTGGTCTCCAACCCGTTAGCTCAGGCAATCCTCTCACCTTGGCCTCCCAAAGTGCTGGGATTATAGGCGTGAGCCACCACATCCGGCCCCTAACATGTTTTAAAAATCCATTCTGCCTCTCAGCTTTTAATCACTAAATTATATCAAAATCTCTTGAAAGGTAGGTTCTCTGTCTTCTAGGTCATTTTTATGGTAACATTTTACAATAACTGGCAAGTTAACTATGGAGAACTCAAGCTCGTCTCATACTCCTCCAGCTGTGACTCTTCTATTAAAGAGAACTCTGTCTTGAGCTGAGTGACTTTGAGGGAGTTGTTCTGGATAAAAATTATTATCCAGCCATTTCAGGCCAGGCAGAATGCTCTGTGCTGTACATGTATTACTCATCTCAGGACTAGGCCATGCTGTGGATCAGAAGAGACCATAAGCAAGAAAATCCAGTTCCACTTCTGGCTTCCTTGAGGCAAGAGGTTGGGAGAGAGCAGTGCAGGGGCCAAGGGGAATGATGCTGAATGTTTCTTTTTTAGGCTTTCTGAGTCTTTTGCGCATTGTACTAAACCTGTTTTTATTGTTGTTGGGGTTTTTTTTGCTCTGAGACCTCACAAGTCATTTCTGAAACCTCACTCAGAACATCTGGGCAGGGACAAACAGGGCGTCTCAGTTTTCTAAGGATGAAACACCCCACTGGCCTCCTGCTCTGTAGCTCTCTGTTAAAAAGCAGTTTGCTTTATTTACATCATTTTGATTAAATAAAAACTTAATTGACTGACCAAATTCTGCAATTCTCAAACTTTAATGTTATCTTTAAGGCGATTTATAAAACCAAGAAAGATCTCTGTGGTTTTATTCTGACAGTCAGAAGAGTTGAGGAATGAGGCAGATTCTAATGCTAAGTTTTCTTACTTTTGAACTGTAAAATTATTTTTGAACTGCAAAAGACCTATGATGATTGCTATGTATGTTCATGAGGAAGACACATTTGAATGATTGGTGTTTTCAATTCTGGCAAAGCATGACTAGCCACATTAAGAGAACTCTGTGAAACATTTTGTCATCAGATGAAGTAATAAAAAAGACAGAATGGGCCTTCTTGCTTAAATAAGTGACCATTATTACATATTGCTTCAGATAGTTGCATTTTTGAAGAAATATGTTTATACTTTGAGGGAACTATCAAAATAGCATTCTGCTATGCAAACTACAACTTTCCAGGTCAGACTCAATTCTCTTCTTTATTTATGGTCTGTGAACAAACTTAGCGAAATGTGTGATACAAGGTGTGCAGGATGTTTTTAACATAAACATAATTAAGTATCATTACCATCATTACGTTTTCTGTCTTTTCACTCACATATGGGTGAATATATACATATACATGTAGACATAAATATATTAATACATATATTTATATATGCTTATAAATGAGATACAATTTAAATTAATTTTTGTTTGGCTATTGTGGACAACATCTTATTGCCTTGAATTCATGTCTTATCAAGAAAGGCATCATTCCTGGGACCGTTCCTTAAGGAGTACCATTAGAAGACTTTTCAAACTATATCTGGAAATTATATACCTACTTGTTCGTGTAATTTTACTTGCATCTTATAGACTCCCCTTTACTTGGTGAATCATGGAGAGAATGGACCAGTCAGATGCAACAGGTGCAAGGCCTACATGTGCCCGTTTATGCAATTCATCGAGGGAGGAAGGAGGTACCAGTGTGGATTTTGCAGCTGTGTGAATGATGGTAAGTGATGCTACTAAATGCTCTTTGTCAAACTCTTTAATAAATAAAATATTTTATATTTCCCAGCTTAGGAAAAGCTTAGATTTTTTTTTCTCTTGATCACAGTACCTTCTTCGACATACTTTGTTTTGGAAATTTAAGCTCCTCTTAGCCTTACATAATTATGTGAGCCCTACATGGAAGTTGTGACGTTTTAAAAGAAAACTCACAAGTAGGGGACAAAAATGTATTTCTTAATCTCCTTCTACAAAGACTCAGCTGAGAAAAAATGAGATTTTTGCCTCTTCTGTTTATAGATAATGAACCAGGGAGACTCCTCTTTTGTCATTCCTCAGGGTTTTTCTTGAATATGAGCTCATTGATATGTAAGAAGAATTCAGATACAGCAAAGGGCTTTCACATGTATACAGATTCTTTTCACTTTGATATAAATGTTGGGTTGTTAAGAAGGAAAGAACATTATTACAAAGAACTTTCCCATAGTCATTATATTTTCAGTTTTATTCCAGCATAAATTCACTGATGTTGAAAGAAAACTTCAAAGTTGCCAAATGTTCTCACATTCATTATATTTATGTCTCTGTGATTTTACTTTTTGGTGTCAAATGAAGCACATACTCAAGCTGAGAACATTCCCCCACTTATTTACATGTATAGATTATCTTTTGATCATGTGGTGATTGTTAGAGTATTTTCTATGGGTTTTACTCTGTTCCTTATATTTGTAGATGGGTTCCCTGTGGGTAATTAGATCTGAAGGCTATTAGCACTATCTGCCCATGAGCATGTCTACTCCTTAGTGACAGCTGAGCATAGGCAGTTTTCTGCCAACATCATAGCCTCCGTGGCACCTTGGCTTCCTGAACTTCCTCTGGTAGGAGAGCACTGCTTGCCTCCTACACACAGTCCGTCACACACACAATCCATGGTTTTCTTCACCTTATGGTCCAGAGATGGGTCTTGGGTCTTTCTCATGAACAATTCCTGACAATTCCTTGCTGTGGAGTTGAATCATTGGTTTCCAGCCTCATCTCAAAGACTGTCGCCTGGACCTCTTGGGACGTCTGTCTCCTTGGTCAACTGTGGTTTCTACTCACTGCAAAGGGGGTGTCCCAGTGAGACCAGATTCTGTTAGTTCTCCACCCTTCCTTCTCTTTCAAAGGAAGATATTGTTTCACATCTCTTAACCTGGGTGAAATCCGCAACCAGTTCCTTGGCTGTCACTTAATACTTGGACCTGGGTTTTGGAGCCCTATGACAATTCACTTTTCTGTGCTTTGGTTTTGGAGGAAAAAGTCTTGAGAAGACAGAGTCCTCTACTGAAGCACTTGGATAAAGTCTTCCACTAAGACCACCAGCTCAGCCGGGCTTGGTGGCTCAGCCTGTAATCCCGCGCCTTTGGGAGGCTGAGATGAGTGGATTGCCTGAGCCCGTGGGTTCGAGACCCGCCTGGGCAGCGAGACCTCATCTCTACAATAAATCAAAAAAATCAGCTGGGCGTGGTAGCGCATGCCTGTAATTCCGGCTACTCGGAAGCCTGAGGCGGAAGGATCGCCGGAGCCCAGCAAGTCGAGGCTGCGGTGGCCAGTCTGGGCGACAGAGTGAGACTCCAACTCAAAAAAAACCAAATAAATAAAAGACGACCAGCTCCTCAGTGTCTTCACCCAAGACTTCAGCTTTCTTAGGAAGGTGCTCAGAAATGTATCTAGTATGTAGAGCAGCAGAGATCTCAATTTGCTGTGACTCCCTAGTCTTACACTCCAAGTGTTACCTCGGGGTGTTAAAAGATCAGCTATTTTCTCGTAGAGAGAAACCACTTGGAATTCTTGCGTCTGTACACAACAGTCTGTTCCCTTGGGTATCCACTCCTAGGAGCCTACTATGTTCTTTTTTCAATAGAATTATTCATAGTAGGCTCAAATATTTGTCCCTACAAGGAAGCCAAGACTCCCTTAGATTTATGTTGACATCTGCATTCTTCATTTAAGTTTAACGATGACAGAGTTTTATTGGCATCAGAAGGAACCCAGCAGGCTTGGTCTCACGGTTCAACTCTTATTTCCTTGCAGAGTTTCCAGGGATTGCTCAGTTGGAAGCATGTGAGATCACAAGGGTGCAGGAAGGCAAGGGTAGTATGGCAGTGCATAGTTTATGGTGTGACGTGCATTTAGGCTGCTTTAAAAAAGATGACAGGTAATATTAAATGCTAATGAATATAAATTTAATTTTAAAGGGAAAAATTCACACATTGCATGTAGATTTATAGATGTGGACAACTTATAGGCTACTTTATGTAGAAATTATTGTGCTGTACATTTTAAGACAGCGAGATAACCATCTCATCTAATTAACAAAAGCAGTTTAAGACCTTCAAGGTTTACTTACCTCAGCTGAGCCTGTCAGTTTTCACTTCTGTTATCTCTTCAAATCCTTGAATTTTCCAAATTCAGAGATTCATATGTACATGTGAACCTTATAAAACTTATTTTAAAAGAAACGGCAGTCAGGTGCAGTGGCTCATACCTGTAATCACAGCATTTCAGGAGGCTGAGGTGGGAGGATGACTTGAGTCCAGGAATTCAAGACCAGCCTAAGCAACATAGTGAGACCTCATCTCTACAAAAAATAAAAAAAAATTAAATGGACATGATGGCGCACACCTGTAATCCCAGCTATTTGGGAGGCTGAGGCAGAGAGGTTGAGGATTGTGCCACTGCACTCCAGCCTGGGTGACAGGGTGAGACCCTGACTCGAAAAAAAAAGGAAATTAACCCTCAACAATTTTTTTAAAGTCCAATCTAAGAAAACAAGCCCTGTTTTCATTCTCGTGTCCATTTCACAACTAAAAGTAAAGAATGCTGAGTTGTTCATTAAAAAAACAAAAGAATGCTGAGTTCATTAAGAAAACAAAAAGGATTACTTCTAAGTTGTTCATTAAAAAAACAAAAAACAAACAGTTTTGTTGTTCTTTACAAAATGCTTAAAACCAGAGCATTGGTAGTTTTTTGAAATAGTTCTATCAGCAGTGGTTTAATAGCCGGCCCCATTAATCTCAAGGCAACAGGAGTTCATTTTCAGAGATACCAGGCCATATTTGTCCAAGTGTTCAGTATGTGACTCACAAGTGTTCCTGTGCTGTTGGGTGACTTCCAAGTCTTTGCCAGAACTAACCTTCTTAGACATTTGATTCAAATTAGAGTTCCTCAGCTGAGATCTTAGTGGCATAGTCTTTCCCTAATACAGTAATCCTCTCTACTCTTAAACCCAAACATTAAAAGATTACTATGCAAACTGGCCATGGCTGAAGATATCTCTTAATTAAAGCATAATTAATATTGTAATTAGTAGTATAGTGCATATAATCAATGCTTGTTTCTGTTAGGTATGTAAAAAATTCAAATGGCTAGAAAAGTGAGAATTCATTTTAAAAGAGGTAATTAAATAGAGACAATTAAATCTGGTTTGTGATAACTTAAAATCACCAGTACTTTTTTTCCTTGTTTCTCTATGACATCTAAATCATAAATGTTTTCTGTCATTAATAATTTATAAATAAAGAGTTAAATAGATTTTTTTAAGAAAGCCTTCTTACTTTCTAAGACATGTTTTTAAAACTGTGGATATTTAGAATATACTACATTCCAGCTTTAAAATATTTTTTTTCTTATACTAGCTCCTTTCCTCCCATAATAAATTTTGAGAGCTTATTAAATTGTCAGTGTTTATGAATACAAAAAGATTTCCTTTCCTGTTTTGTTTGTATTAGTTCCGCCATTCTATTTTCAACATCTGGACCACATTGGAAGAAGACTGGACCACTATGAGAAACCAGAGTTATCTCTAGGATCTTATGAATATGTCGCTACCTTGGATTATTGCAGAGTAAGTGTTCCCAAGACTTCAAGTGTTTACATGATGATGTCAAGTTCAAGTGAATAAGTTAAGGAACTGACTCTTGGTTCACAAATGACACATTTTGGTGGTGTCAGGGGTATGCAGAAATGCCTGAGAAGCAGGTCCAGTCTTTTAGGTTGTTAACATGATTCAGCTGCCACATCATCTTCCAGAGTGATCCTTTTTAACCCTTTGCACTCAGATGTCCCCTCTTAGGAGACATCATAAATGTAGCAAACCACTCTGATATCCCATCTCAGGGGACATAGACTGCTGGTGATTATACAGAATAAATTTATGCAAGTGCAAATTTAAAAAAAATATGTTTCCTTGAAGTTTTTCATTCAAATTGCACAAAAAAAGCAAATAAAGAGTTGGAATATGTACTGAGAGATGATCAATGTGGTTTTCAGGAATCACTAGTGTGTCCTTCCACATCTTCTTCGAACAACAGACTGGACAATAAATTACTTATTATTAATGTGGGTAATTAAAATCAAGACTGCATTGTCTGGCTCAAACAGAAAACACCAGGTGGAAGGCATCAAACAAATTACTCTTGCACAACATGTATCAATGAACCTACAATGCATGTCAGTGACTTTCACATGTTACCTCATGTTAAAAAATGTAATATATAAAATTTTGGTTTTTTTGTCATGAAGAAGTTCCTCAATGGCCAAAATTCCATTATAAGCAAATATCATTGCAATAAAATAAGTGGTTCCAACGCTATACTATTTAATATGAAGTGATTTGTTTTTCACTATTTTGTTAAAAAATGTGATCTAGCTGCTGGTAGCTGATTCACAAGATGTCTCCACGTGCAAAGGATTAAAAACAGAAATGTGCCAGAAATGGAAAACAATAATTTGTACATCCTCACCAGATAGAATATGCTGGGTTCTTAATTCAGCAGTTCCACGCAGTGCCTTTGTCTCACTCCCTTAGTAAATAATTGCATAAAAACTTCTGTTGCAGGGGAAAAGCTCTACTGGAATGGTCAGGAGGACTGTTGAAGTGTTTCTGTACCTCCTTCTTCACGCTAGTTGTCCCCGCAATGTTTTGGGCTCTCAGAATTCTCCTCAGACCCTCTCAACAACCTGGGATACAGGCTCTGGTTTCCCTGCCCTAAAATGTAACTGTGAGGTTCTCCTAATCACCTCCCACAAACCTCTATTGGTTCTTTCCTTTCTAAAAAGTTTTTAAAAATTAAAAAATGTTAAAAAAAAAAAGCAGATTATCTTATAAAGCCATTAACTGTTGGACCCCAAACTACCACCTCAGCTATCTTCAATTATGCAAACTCTCACTAAGTACTTTGAGCCTCTGAGCCCCTTTAGCAACTCCTTGCCTTTGTATAAGATATTCTTTTGACCAGAATATCTTTCTGTTATCTTGTCATGACTCCAAATACCCTGCCTGGCAAACTCCTACCTTCTTTGTAATGCCTGGCTGAAAGGTATTGTGTATGCACGTAACTTTTCTCTGTCTTTGTCATGTTAGTTATTTATTACAACTTCTGTTTTGGGGGTTTTTTTGTGTGTGTGTTTTTGAGTTGTAGTCTCACTCTTGTTGCCCAGGCTAGAGCGCAGTGTGGTACGCTCACAGCCACCGCAGCCTCGACCTGCTGGCCTTTGGCGATCCTTCTGCCTCAGCCTTCCAAGTAACTGGAACTACAGATGCACACCACCACACCTGGAGAGTTTTTGTGATTTATTGTAGAGACGAGGTCTCACCAAGTTGTCCAGGCTGATCTTGAACCCCTGGGCTTGGTGGCTCAGCCTG